TTGCATCTGGTGGCCAAAGTATTGGAGCTTAAGCTTCAGCATCAGTCCTTCTAGTGAATACTCAGAGTTGATTTCCTTTTAGGATTGACTGGTTTGATCTCCTTGCAGTCCAAGGGACTCTCAAGAGTCTTCTCCAGCACCTGTTTGAAAGCATCAATTCAGTGCTCAGCCTTCTTTATGGTCCAATTCACATCTATATATGACTCCTGGAAAAACCACAGCTTTGACTAAATGGATCTTTGTCATCAAAGTGATGTCTCTTCTTTTTAATGCACTGTCTTAGGCTTGTCATAGCTTTTCTTCCAAGACTGCAGTATGTAGTCAAAGATAAAAGAATGACGTTATGCAAGATTCTTTGTTTCAGTTAACAAAGCTCCTACTCACACTTTTTTTAAAAAAGATCTTTGTTGGCACCAAACTTTTAAAGCATGATCACCAGCAGATATTCAGGCATATTGCAATCCATATATTTAATGATGTTTTCAGGAGTAATCACTCTACAGCATAGGTCTGATTTCTATTGTCTTGACCTTATTTTTAGGCAGGATCTCCTCTCCTGGAGTGACATGGCAGCTTCAGTCTAGAGGAAAGAACTATCATTTTATTGCCCTAGCAAAAATAGAACTTTCCCTCTACAGTTCCAGCAAATATTCCAGGACTGACACTTACTGAACAACTTGGTCACACATCCATTCATGAAATAATCATATGCCCAAGGAAGAGGACACACTCATGGTCAGGCTCACGAGGTACAGTCAATCCCACCTGAACCACATGGCCTGAGGCGAGGAAAGGGACAGTTCCCAGAGACAGACCTGGATGCTGTCTCCAGAAATGAGGGATCCAGGGAAGTTATGGGGGACAGGTTAAGGTCTTATATTCCTGAATCAAGATAGCTGTAGTTTGGATTGAGGAAAGAGATTTGAGAGGTACTTAAGGAGAATAATTTTGTAGGATTTTGTAATGAATTAGACTAGAGGTAAGGGAGATTGAAATATCAGAAGTATGTCCTAAGTTTCATGTTTGTATAACTGGTGATATTACTGAGAGAATCCCCACCGACAGGGCACCAGGTTAAGATGCAGAGAGAGAGAGTAGAACAGCATGAGCTTAATTTGGAATGTTTACCTGGAGGTAACATTGAGACACTCAAGAGAGAATAAGAATCTAAAGATCAGTTGGATATGTAGTTGGATATACAGGTCTAAAGATCAGGGAGGACATCAGGGCTGGAGGATAAGTTTGCCCAGGGTTGGAGCAGTCTAATTATTTTGAAGGCTGTAATGACAATGGAAAGGGATAGAGGCAGAGCCAGATTACAGTCAGTAGAATGGGAGAATGGTCATGAAATTGTGACTGCAAGTATATCCTAGTCATTATGGTAAATTAACTATGGACACAGACTCATTACTGCTTCATCCATTGAAAGTGGAGTTTCGTTTGCTTCTGGGTGATTCTTGGTTGGCTTCAGTGACTTTCTTGACCAAAAGAACGCAATAGACGTCATTTTCTGGGACTTTATGTGCTAGATCATAAGGAGCCTTGTGATTTCCACCCGAGCCCCCTAGAGCATGTACTATGAAGAGGCCCAGATAGAGTGTTCTTGGGAAAACATTAAAATCCACAAGCCTCTATTTCTTTATTTGCATAGTAATACACACTCAGTAATTTTTAGTTGCTGGGTTATCATTGGTGTTCATTTAATCTGTAATGAAGGGAATTAAGTAGCATAAAAGGAGGTAAGATTTGGCTTTCCCTTTATGATGGATTATTTGTATAAGAATTTAATACTATAACAATTTTAGTGATAACTATTCGTGTTATCATAAGCTATCATTGTGGCAAGTAAAATTAAAAGGAGAGCAATACGTTAATAATTTTAGACCCAGTTTAGACTTTGCATTAAATTTTAGATCCTTTGCTCAGCAAATGTATTGTGTTAAACAATTAAACCACTAGTCCATGAAAATCAAACCAGAATTCTTCAAGAACTAAATTTGATGTTCTGTGCTTTTTGTGACAGTGTGGGAAGATTCAGTGGTGATATTTTCAGGGGTACTTTGCCATTTGAGTAGGGCTTTTCTGAAGTTACAAATAGCTTTACTCTAATACCATTCCCAGAAATACCACCTCTGAAAGTCAGAGAATTGAATTACTTCATTAATCTAGTAACTGTTGTAACCTCAAATAGAGAATTTCAGGAAATACCACTCTCAGATTAGGAATGCCACCTTAAAGAAGAATTTAGGGCCATAATAGAGCCAATAATTATATCTGACTTGCATTTTTCAAATGAGAAAAAAGTAGGAGCAATCAAGACACCTTGATTTATATAGCAGCTTGCTTCCAAATAGCACTTCCCAATTTCCATAACCTCACTGGACTCAGTTTTCCTATGTAACCCAGTGAACTTGCATTTCTTAGGCATAAGAAGAAAGGAATCTCTTTTGACTCTTACTTCCAGAGAACCCCCTCCCAATCAGACTGCAAATGGGAAAGGGAATATTTTCCTTGTTTTCTGAGAAATTGACTGTTGGTGGCATGTTTTCCACCAGCTGAGGGGGGTCTGATGTAGTCTTAGTGGCAGGCCACCTGTTCACTCCAAGGAATTTGTAAGATGGCAAAATCCTGTCCTTACCTGAATATTTTGTCAGTATCACTGTTTCTCCGCGCTTCTCCCCTACTTTGTTGGAGAAGGGAAGATTTTTCTGGGTCTGGATTACTGTAACCAACTCCCAAAGGCCCTTGTCAAAAAGTATATATGACTGGATGTGATGTGTGTTGGGCTGAGCCGTTTACTGAGTAGACACCAGCCTTCATTGTTAGTCCACTGGAAATGAGATTAATGAAGCAAAGCTATCATGGAAAATATTGTCTTTAGTCATACATTGATCACCATCTGTAATGAATCCAGAGCACTGAAAAACTAAATGCTTTGAGGCATTATTATATTAACTGAGAATATCAAATACATTTGCAAGCAACTGGGGTTTTGGTAGTAAAATTAATTTTTATTCACTTGAATTAAAAATTACATAGATTCTCTGCTTACTTTTATTAAATGCAACAGAATATGGTCATGTGTTTTAAAATTGAACTCTTAAAAAAACAGTCCTTAGATAGTTCCTTTTTTTCTAGTTCTACTAGGAACAACAAACTTCCAATTTCTTCACAAAAGTAGGAGACACTGTCTAACAAAAGTGAATCACTCAAACTGAAGTTGAAATTATATGTGAACCTTTATAATGCCCTCTTGAAATCTTTCTACTTCAAATCCTCACACTGTCAAATCATGGATAAAGGAAGACTTATCTGTGTGCTAAAGGTCAGCACCCCATGTCAGGGCATGCTGCTAACAGTGATGGCGGCTACAGTATTGTTTGAACCCACCCCGTCTCCTCTCCTTTTCTTTATGGAGTAATGTCTATTCTTTTAACCCTGGTGACTAGACGAGCAGGAGAAAAATCACATCAGAAATAAGGGCAAACCTTCCTGAGAACAGTACTATTGCCAAACTCCAGCTGAGCTCATATGCTTTGGCTGATGAATACATGTAACTGCAAACCCTTAGAAATTTTGAACCAATTAGAGGAGAAGACAATTATCTTTATTTGCTCTCTATGAACAGCCAACTCAGATGCTTCAATGATATTTCCTTTTTATCTCTCTCAAAGGCAATAACCTTGTGAGAATTTGTCCAATGATTGACTACCTAATTTTCCACTTAATTGTTGTATTTTCGTCTCAATTCATTCTAAAGGAGATTTAAGTGATGAACAAAAAGGTACACGTCCATCATGCACACAACACAGAATCATAAAATATAATTAATAAAATAAAAAAGGCTGTGAAAAGGAAGAAGGTGATTAGAGTCTGCTTCACTTTACTATACATTGTGTAAATTTTCTTATGCCAGCACTTTAGTGATAGGAAAAAACAGCTCAATACCTTTAGATATTTTATTGACAATATTAATATACTAATATATCAAGATATTTTCAGCAAATAGATATATATACCCTTAACTCATGATTTCTAATGTACTGTAGATATTATAATGATGTAATGTTGTACATTCTTTTTGTTTAAAAATCTGTTATTGTCTTGAATAACTTCTATCTTTGCTCCACGTACACACAACTTTGTTATATGGTACAACATTAAGATAAAAGAAAAATTTTAGTTATCAGGCACCTTTGAAATATGCTTGAAGTAGAAATGTGGTATTTTCATCTGTGACACCAACAGGACCTAAACTGAGTCCATGAGATGCTATTTAGATTTATCTACAAAACCGACTGTTTCAGTACTTTCAGCCCCACTTAAAAGACACCATATCAATGACTGCCAGTTCCATTAGGGGGTTCTTTTAACAAAATCATAAACCAAAATATTTCCACACTTAAACAATTTTATTTATGGTGGAGTTTCCAAAAATCTCTTATATCTTGAAATCATCCACAAAGTACTATTTTGTGCTTAGATTAAAAATGTATTTCTTATAAGAAAATGTTAAAATATATACCATTAGGCAGTATTGTTATATTTTATTTAACACAATATAAATCAAAGGATTAAAGAGAAAAGCAAAGCAGTTAAATATATTTAAAACTCCCTATAACTGATTTACATCTATTCTAATATTTTAAAGAAAAAAATAAAGCACTAAACATCAGAGGTAATATTTTGATATGCAATATTTATAAAAAATATAAGTTAAGCATTGCAACAAACTACCTTTTGATGAACTGCCCGTATAAGAAAAATATCATTGGGACTATATATCTAAAGCAAAGATGAAGGAAAAGAAGAAAAAAGGAAAGTATAAATTGCAATAGTGACTTTTTAAATACACTTTCTTATAAAGTGGCAAGATAATATTTACAAATTTACAACAGAGAAGAAATGCTTATTTACAGGTTGTCTTGCTTTTGGATTTTTGGTTCCTCCTTCTTTCCTGTGTAATAGACCTTCCGGCAGAACTGATCTAGAATTTTAGTTCATAGCACATGATAGATGAGCCTGGAACTAGAGGCCCCTGGAGTTGCAGGCTGAGAATCGGTGCTGGCAACTGGGGAGAGAGAGGCTGGATCCTGGAGAGGCAATCCTGGTTGCTCTGAGTTGGTGATCCGATCCACTATGCTGGATAAGCAATCCAAGCTGGATAAGGAGCTTTTATCCGTGGCATATACTAAGGACACAAGGAGAAAACCATTAAAAAAAAAAAAAATCCTTGCTTATGCTGCCGCTTAAACTGCAGGTCAGCTCCTTTGAAACCCAAAGGTTAGGTGGTCACAGAAAGCCTGATGTAGAAATTTGCAACAAATATCTAGCAATTCATGGGGATGAAGTTGGAGAGTGGAGAAGCACCCGGGTAATATTTCAAGCAAAAGCTCACGTCTGTGTGTATGTGCCTGGATGTATCTGTTAGGAGGATTTTGAGCAGATGTGTGTTTATTTTGCCCTGCCAATATCCCCATAAATACCATTCTGTTCTCTTCCCAGTACTGCATGGAAGAACAGACTCTACTTTGATAGGCTAAATTCTGAAGGTGAACTGGTCTTTAAACTCCTCTGAAGTCATGGGTTCTTACCATTTGGTACATCAGGACAGTAGACGCTGTCAAAACTGCTGCTCTTTCTGGACCAGATAGGGCTGTTACATTCAGGCTATAATAAAAGACACAGAAGAGGCGTTTGTTTTCAGGTCTTGGCGAAAGGTGCTGCGATCTCGGGTGAGGCAGTGCTCACCCACCAGCTCCATAAACTGACCACTCTCAGTCACCATTATTGCCTTGATTTAGGAAGGGCAGTGAGGTCATTCTCTGTGCTTGGAGAAGAGGAGAGAGGCAGCAGAAAGCAGAGGGCGGGTGGAATCCAGCGGCAGTGTGCAGTGGGTTAACCATGCCAAATGGATTGGAGTAGAAGGAAGCCACACTAATTCAGAGAGAGAACACTTTCCCAAGGCAGAAACACATTAAAACCTGGCAGCCTTGGAGCAAACGCTGTCTGAAAAGAATGCATGAACCTCTTCCAGCCCGGCCTCAGCAGAGTAGGGGCTGGGGCCATGCAGGCGTTTCTTTCTGTTTCTCCCTTAAGTTACAAACCATGGGACCCTGGAGGCCTCAGACAGTTGCCTTTAGATGCTAGTGCATGTCAAGGTCCACTGGTAGTATATACTGGAAATAAACTGAGTAATGGAGAAAACATCTGATTGATCGTTCACAGCCAGCTATCTCAAGTGACAGCCTGCTCTTTCAATGTGCACGTAGAGTAGATAGGAAGTTAAGACAAAATCCTGTTCAACAGCTGTCTGTGTGCCCGCATCTGTCTAAATGCGGCATCTCTCTTCTCTGCCAGTACCTGCCCCACGCTGCCCCCCAACACCCAGCTATCCACCAATAACCACCGAATATCTGGTTGCTACACCTGGTCTAAATGAGATGTGAGGGTTTTTGTAAAAGTTGGGTCCTGGCAGGTACAGAGCCTCTCTTACCATGCCATCGGAGCAACTGGAGGTGGGGCTGGTGGGCTCGGAGCAGCTCTGCCCCGGCAGGCTGTAGTAGTTTTCCACCTGTTCCCTTAGCAGCTCCTGCAGGCTCTCAATGTAGCGGATGGCATTCCTGAGGATCTCCACCTTGGGCAGCCTCTGGTTAGGGTTGGTCGTGGTGCACCGCTTGAGCGTGTCGAAAGCCTGGTTGACCTTCTTCAGGCGTCTGCGCTCGCGCATGGTGGCCGCCTTCCGCCGGTCCATGGTGGTGGACTTCCTCTTGCATGCTTTGCAGGCCCACATGAGGCAGTGGCCGGCCTGGTGGTGGCCCGTAGGTGCTCGCACGTGCTCGTCCTCGTCTGAGCCTTGCAGGTCTGCCTTGTGAGCCCCGAAAGCAGCCACTCGCGGCTCAAACTCGTCCCCGAAGTCGCCCTCGGGGGATGGGATGCAGGAGCCGTCGTAGAAATACTCAGAGGGCGAGAACTGGCAGCCGTCCATCACGTCCATCGTCTGCCGAGAGGCGGGGGGTGGGCCTGGACAGCAGCGAGATAGACAGGGCAGAAACCGGAGCCTGGCGCCGCTGAGGGCCGGGAAACCCCGGGCTGAGCTCCCTGGTCGGTGTCTCTGGTAATTAACAAGGGCAGACGCCTGGCGGCCTGGGTCTGCCGCGCTGGGGTTGGGGCTTTTTATATATTCTTGGGGGAGGGAGGCCGGCCCCTGTGGCCCCGCACTATTAGCATATCCCACCGCAACCCCCGCCGGGGCTGTCTGGGCAAACCTCCGCCTTTTCTCTAGAGACGGTTTGCTGTTTACTGCCCCTTTTGACGCTAATGGTTTTACTGCGTTTCTGCTGGGGCGGAGGTGATGGCGCCCCAGTCCGCTTACTTGCACTCTTTCGGTTACCTAAACCAAGGGACACTTAGAGGGTGTCACAGACAAAAGGAACGAAGGAAATCCAACTTCGTACAATTGCTCTCACATTTAAAAAGATAATCAGTAAACAGAACTCCCCATTTCAGTTGACACCAAACGCGGACCCGCCTTCCCAATGCGAGACATGAATGATCAATTTTATTTTCAGGTATTTCTCTTTTTCGTGAACTTCAGTTGTGTCAGGAATTTTCTCAGCCAGTAGGCCAAATAACAGTTGCTAAAAACTTGAAGTGGCACTTTCAATAATGAAGTGGCTCTAGGTTTTTTTTTTAATCTGTTTTGTTTCTCATCAGATTGCCATTAACAGTCTCTGTGTTATTTGGGGGTAACCTGGGAGGTTCCTTTTCTCCAAAAGCAGCTCGCTCTGAGTTTTTTCTCTGCTCATCTGAAGGGAGTGGGCACAGGAGGGCCAGGTGACCAGGAACACACCAGGCTTCCTCTCGTTCCCGCTTCTGCGCCTGTTTGCTGAGCGCCTCCTCCTGTGATGGACCTGAGCAGGGGAAGATCCACCCTGACTGCGTCTCTAAGATTTGTGTTCTAAGAAACCGGGTTTTAGATGATGAACTCCTTCCCAAGAGCTCGTCTCCCTTCTCCCTCTTTCTGCCCCGCCCTGTCATTTCGACAGTCTAAACAGCCAAGCTGGGCTTCGGGGTCGCTAATTTTCTGCTTTCAGGCAAACTAACACCGTTACAGATGCGTCCCAGCTGCCGGCAGGGCAATCTTTCTTGGCTCGTGTAAAATTTCCAACTCCTTCGACCAGAGTAACTTCACACACTTTGGCGACAAAAGCCTTACAGAAAAGCAATCACAGCAGGGTCTTTGAAACTTCGTGGGCTAGAAGGCGAGAGGAAAGGGCCTCCATTTAAGTGACAATGAACCTATTAATCAGCTTCTGTCAATCCCTCTCCACCCTGACTTCACTCACTATCAAAATCACCTGCGGTAGAAGGTGGGGGGGAGGATAGTTTTTATATATGGGAAAAAACTATTACTTCAAGGTCTACACAAACAGACTTGAATTTTCTGAGGTTTTGGACCAGGCTTGTGGACTTATGAAAAGAAGTGAGTTCGCACCTTGATCTTGGGTCACAGAGTCCAGTAAACTGTTGTGACTCCAAATTAACAGGGGCGGAGGAGACCTTTTTTTCTATTACATTTTTTCTAAAATTATTTCCCGAAAGCAACCCTGGCAGGCAGATTCCCCCATCTTCAGGGGCCAAAGAAGTATTAACTTTCTCAGGGTGAAATCTGCTCTCCAGAGTGAAGGCCCCAGAAATCAGGGGTAGGATAATGTCAGTCACCGAAGTTTGCTACAAACGTGCCTGCCGCTGTCCCCTATCCCAAGTTCTGTCGTCTCTAAGACAAAGACACTACCTCTTCCACCACTATCACCACCCAGCCCTTGAAAATCTGGCTCTTTTTCATACCAATGGGCAGTGGGAATTCATCTGCACCTTATTTTTAGAACTGTTAACAAGTAGATGTCTTTGAAATGAATAGGTACCCAGGGCCACACCAGATAAAAGAATTGAGTTCCTAAAGGACCCATCCAGGGGAGTGGAAACCCTCCAAAGCGTGCACGTTGCTGCCTCGGAAGAACAGTAGTGGGTAGATATTCTCATCCAGGCACCACAGGTTCTGGTCAGCAGCGACAGAAGCACTTTCTTTGGCTATGAAGTCCAGACTGTCACACACTGGCCAAAGCTAATACAGACCTGTTCACAAACTTAAGATTCGGGCACAAATAAATTTGCTCCTTCAAGTTTAAGTGGAAGATAGAAGTTGTGCTTCTGGCTTGCCTTTCAGGTGATTTCTTTCCACAAGGTACTTAATGTCCTTTGTCCCCAAAGGTGTTAAGCATGGGATATTTGTAAGCAAACAATTATGACTTGTTTTCTCTTGGGAAGCACTGTTCCCAGCACTTGCTATGTATGCACTCAGTTATGACTTTCAACAATTCTCTGGCAACTGTCACTGGACCCATTGTTAAGAGAAGGTAGCCAAGCTCGGGAGTAAGTCATTTGCCCCAGGTCACACAGAACTGGAAACTAGGCGTCCCTTCTGGAGGGCTTGAGCTCCTAGAGGTGAATTCCATTTGTTTCCTTCTCCAATCAGTTCGGGCTCCGTGCGCGCCCTTAGCGCTCCAGAGCAGAGACTCGCAAACGCAGGTCCGGGGAGCTTTCCCTCGGCTCCCGGCCTGAGAAGACGCTGTCACTCAAGAGGCCCTGTCAGGAACCAGAGGTTAAGGCTGTCTTTGGTAAGGTGATCTCAAAACAAATTTACCAGAGTGCCGCGGGCCAGTGGAACTAAAGAAGCCGAGAAAACGCAAGCGCCCGGCGGCTTAATGGAACTTGCTGGGGGGCGGGGGGGGGGGGGGCGGCGGGGAGACAGGGTCCAGGGTTGAGGACCCTTGGGACCTAAGCGCTGAAAAGAGGATCTCAGAGCACCAAAGTTAAAAACCGAGACAAAACTTTGAGACCTCTGTCAGGGGCTAGAGGAGAAAGAGATCAAAAAATGGGAAGCAAGCTACCAAGAAGGTAGGAAGCCAACGTGTTCAGAGATGCCTGGGCACCCCAAATCAGGAGATAACTCCCCTGTTCTTTTCCCAGGAGACACCATGGGAGGGAAAAATGGGAAACAGTGAGACAGAGAAAAACAGTGTGTTTTTTTGTTTTTTGGTTTTTTGAGGGGGGAAAATTGAACAGAGAAGTTTTTTTTTTTTAAGTTAAAATTTACTTTTTAAAAAAGCTCTTTTCCATTGCTCCTCTACTCAAGAGAAGAGGGTGGTCTCTTCTCAAAATCAGACCATATTGGCTTTTGCTTCTCAGAGAAAAGAATGAAAATACAATCTGTTTTACCCTATTTCTCCAGGGACGTGGATGTCTTCCATGTTCCACCACTGACTCTGCTAGGAAAATATCACAGTAGGCAGAAGATGAGAGGAAAAGTCAGTCCAGCTGGGTCATACAAATAAATGCTCACCAAGATTCTGATGAAGCAGATATAATGGTTTTTAAATTTTTGTGTTATTTTACATTCTGAAGCAAAATAAACACATACTTAATTTTCTTACAATTTAGACTTAGGAGCAGGTTTTAATTGCAAAGACCTTTAAGTAATCATCAACTTTTTTTTTTTTGAGAGCCTATTTTAGTTTGAGCATTATGGCAACAATCCTAGTGTTGATGGACAGACCACACCAGCAAAATGATGCTCAGAGCTTCCTTTTCTAGTAAAAGTTGCCCACCCTCGCAATTTTGCATGAAAATTCTCCGTGTTTCTCTCAGCAGGAGAAATTAAATATACATAGAAAGACAGGTTCATTTCAATTCACTTCGGCCCCTCCCTGAGACCCTTATCAACTCCTGGATAATGGAAGTTGTTCTTAAAATTTTCTTATTATATTTGACATAACAATGTGCCAAACAATTTCAAACCACTATTAGTTCCGGGAACCAGAAACACCTAAGTAAACACATTAGTACCTGCCAAAGCTGCTGGAAGAATTTGTGGAGAAGACAGCTGAGGAAGACATTGGCCTCTGCCTAGTTCGAAGACTCCCAGGAGAGATCAAAGGCCTAAGTAAGGACTTTAAGCAGCCTTGAGAGTAGAGAAAGTAGGCAGTCCTTGCAGCATTATCTTTGTTCCAGCACATGGCTTAGGCATTCCATCTCACAGGCTGACTCTGAACTAGGCTTACAAAAAATTGCTTTTTCAGAATGAAACCTCTAGGAAGGAGGGTCATCTTTTGTAACACTGCTGACTCTAAGGGAGTGGCTGGAGGAGTCTGTTGGAGAAATGCCTTGATGGCTTGGCTCTTTAAGGAAATGCCATCTTATTGCTAATTTACTAATGCATTAGATTTGGGGATGAGATATTCAAAGTTTAAACTAAAATTTTTTTTAATGTTTTTTTCCATATAAGTTGTTGTAGGAGGAACATTTTGAGAAAAGGGATAAAATATTACTAAGAGAAAATCACAGATGGGTAAATTCTAACTTTGAATTTTAAAATGTCTTAATAAGGGTGAAGGTCACTGTAGCAACCCAACACTTCTCTGCCAATCTCAAGAGGAGTTGGGATCGCTGATTTTTAGCATCATACCTCCAGCCCCAAATCATATGAAAGAGTATGAAAAAAAAAAAGAGTCCTTTAGACAAAGGGTATTTCCACTATGTTCAGGCTTGAAATTCAATGATCCAGGTGTGATGATTAAAGTTAGTTTAAGAAAGCTAACATTTGATGTTCTACAGATTATTTCTTTGGTAACATATAAGAGAAAATCACGTGTTATTTTATACTTAATAACCTCTGAAATGAGGCTCAGTTTAAATCTCAAATTGCTGATCTTTACCGAGTTATTAACATCTTGATTTTCTGTTTCCACAGCCCTGTTTGTTTTGGCTTTGGTCTTAGTCAAGATTATCATCATTAATATCAAATAAAAACATTTTAATTGCAAACACACCAAGGATTCATTGGGAAGCCTACCATGTCAGTTGTAGCAGTGGAGGTCACATGAAGTCTTTGGGAAATATTTGCTCTATTTAATGAAGAGACTTTCTATGGGCAAA